TCGAGTTTGTGGCTATTATTCGTCGCTTCTAGTGATACCACTGATGCTTCTAATTCCTTTCATTATTCATTCAAACAGCATCCATTAATAAGTGGTAGTTAGGGTTTACATACGCTAATCAACTTACGTGAAGATCACGGATTTCGAGGTCTGTTCTACTCTCAGTTGGTATCAGATCTATCATTTGGCTTTGAGCGTAGCCAGATATATCAAGGTGTTACGCTTGGTTGTCTGTTTTCAAGGTGTTCATGATTTTTGATTTGTTGTTGTTACTATAAAGTTTTACAACACTTATTCCACTGTGTGAAGTTTCTGTTTCAATATTTACGTATTTTCATATTATATGGAGGCGGTACCATATAGGTTTCTACAGAGTCGAAGTTATTCAAGAACTCTGTAGGAATTTTTTATTCTTATAATCTTTGAATCGTATTTTAACCAATACACAGAATGTTGCATTTTGTTCTCCAGTCCAAAATTTTGTGATGCATAGCAGCCGACTACGTTGTATCATTAGATAATTTACGTATTTCACGTTTCTTACATGTGTTTTCTTCCGTTTTTGAAGTCAATATTCTTCTAAATTTCACAGAACCTGTTTAGATATGGTGAATGTTATACAAGTATCATTGAAACTTGTATGCAGTTGCATTTTTGAAGAAACCCAAAATGGTTTCTCTATGACACGTATGTTCTAATAAGCTGTTTGTGAATAATAACATTTATTAGTAGTGGCTTTGTTCAATATTGCGTATTAGATATTCAGTTCAGATTACTCTTGAATTATTACCATCTCACTATGAGTCTTACTCCAGTGTTTTTGCAGCCGATAACATCGGGGTTATAGTTGTATAATGCGGTGTTTTCATCTGTTTCGACTACTTTCTATGAAAACTAGGTTACTAATAGTATTGTTATGTGATAACATCTTCAAACCCTAATTTTTCTGATTACAGCTTGTAATTTTGCTACATCTAGCACTACGGGATTTGAATCGGCCACTGCTTCTCTGTGATAATGTGGTGTGGCAACTCAAACTGATGTACGTACGTACGAAGTTCTACGTTGTTACTGACTGACTGGCTGACTGTTATGTGATACTTCCGTCCAGCCAGTTGGTCCAATATCAGATGTTGTTTCGAGCCTTCTGAGCATCCCCGCACATTTTGCAAGCCAAGTTTGAATTTTCCGTCTCACTTTTTTTGTTGGCCAGGCTTGTTAACTGGAAGTAATTTTTGAGCGTGATTTCTTCAACGAGAGGCAAAGACCGACTCGCTCCCCCTCCTAGTGTTCAGTTCCATGAATGAATGCGAATGGCAAATTAGGAAACCCTTACTCTACCGTAGGCTACTGGATTGCAACTTTATGCCACTTCAAAATTTGATCAGAATACTCCTGTTTTAATATGAAGCTACTGGTTGACTCTTGATGATTCACTTTTGGTTACTACGACTCAACAATTGTGTCTGTTTGCCTCTGCCCTGAAGTTGACATGACTGTTGGAATGTCTGCAATGTATTGTACTCAAAGAAACTTTTCAAAGCAAAGAACAGAAGAAAAGTGAACTCATGGTTCAGCAAGCGCATAGAGTCCACTAGCATTTTATGATGAATGCAACCAATAACAATCAGCCGTAGCATGAGTTAATCCCAGAGTTTTCGAGGGAGTGTTACACGCAGTTCTGATATTTGATTTGATGCTGAAGCTTTACCGAGGGAGTGTCCGGCGAAACCATATTGGCTACCATGACAGTTGAAGAACAGCTGATTTTAGCATCCCGTGCATTTAAAAAGACCGAACACTTTGCTCCAAGCTCTACAAATATCAAGCAGACAGGAAAATTAAATGTGGCTATTGATGAAACTGGACTCCTCGGTTTCCTCAACAAGTCTGGAAATTTCAAACCTTAATGATCAGTGCACCAGTCAGGTAAACGAGGGGTGAAAAATACATCCTCTCAGAGCGTAGAATCTTAAGCTTCAGACAAAATTTCACAATCTAGGCTTTTCCTAACCTTAGAAACCGCCATATGCAATTAAACTGCTTTTGTTGGACAGCGCTCACAGAAACTATAAGTTTTTTACGTGATTATATATAAAATAACAACCTTGATATATGTATCCCTAAACATTATTCATAGAATTACTTCTGCGAAGTACGCTCAACGTCCAGTATAGATTTAATGATGATTTCTATAGACAAACAGATGGACTTGCAATGGATTCTCCATTGGGCCCTCTCTTGGCTGACTGCTCTATGGCCAATCTGGAAAATTCTGTACATCGTCCAATACTTAAGAGATCTCATTTATGTAAGAGATATATGGATGATACTTTCATTATTTGTGAAGAAGACATTTACCTAAATGAAATTTAGAAAGATTTCAATAACTGTCACCCTTCAATTCAATTCACCTTGGGAGCAGAGGCAAACAATGAATTCCATTTTCTTGATGTCTGATTAAAAAGAATGCTTGATGGTTTTTTACAGCGATCTATATATAGAAAACCTACCTGGAATGGGCAGTACACTAATTGTCATAGTTGGGTCCAACTGAGTAGAAAGAGGAACTTGATTCACTCCTCATGCTCTAGGATCAAGCGAATCTGTTCCACGGACACAACAGATGAGGAACTAATTCAGCGTCGACAAACTCTCATCAGAAACGGTTTTCGACCTAGATTCGTCGATAGTAACTTAACAACTAGAATTCATCATGAGAAAGGATCAACAGTACAAAAGAAAACCTTGCTCATGAATATGGAAGTTAAAGTAGACACGGCTACTGAAATCTTAAATAAACGGATTTCAAAACTACTGAATGAAACTTTCTGCACAGTTAAGCCCCGAATTGTTTTCTCAAGCCGCCTACGATTCCTGGATGTGTTAAAGATAAACATCCGCTTTGGACCACATCAATATGTATTTATAAATTTACTTGCTCATGTGGGGTACGTTCCATATGCCGAACAAAGCCATCACGTTCCGAACGCATCTAAGGACACTATCCGGCTTGGCATTTTAAAAGGGAATGAAAGACAACCACTAGTTCTATACAGAAGCATCAATTTTGGACACGTCGCTCTCAAGGATTCTTCTTTAAAGTGATCTGCAGAGTCAAAAAAATTGGATTGAAGGGGTCCCGAATCAATATTTTGTGCACTGCTGGGGCACTGGGAAATCACGAGCTCATGCCAGAACTCTGCGTGCAGATACGATTTGTCCAACCTCTTATCCTTCCTTGGCCCTAATTCCCTCAATCGGTATGTTTCTGCTTTCTCGTTTTTTTTCTGCATTTTTATTTGGTTATTATCAAATTTTTTAAATATTACTATTTTGCATTTTAAACTCTAATCAGTTATTATTATTACCTTATACAAGTTTTCTTGATTATTATTCAGTCTATCATTATGACCTTTGTGTTTGTCTGTCAGTTGGACTATTATCTGGCCCATAAACGATTTTCTTCCTTACCCCTTGATTAGTACGTAACCTTATTTGTTATTTATTCTCAAATCCATTTTTGTGATGCAGTTTTTTCTATCTTCCTATAGGCACACGTTTTCCATATAACTATATATACGAATGTACAGCTTAAGTAAAGGATTTCATCGAAAATATTTTCTTCGCTGAATTCTCTTTTTCCTATTCAAAAAACAAAACTGCACAAACGTTGAACATATTTAGCCCTCGCTATATGTGAATAAACTGTCGTATATTTTTCCTATAGATATAGTGATTATACTTGGCAGTTCATTCCAAAAAATCAAGTTCCATTGACTTTTGTGACTTTAAGCACACAACGTTAATTTTTCGTATTCTACACGTTGATCGAGCTTCATGACACGTTGAAACTAGCTTATAGACCTCAAAAACCCATATGATGTTGTTTAGGTAAGTCTGGATTTTAAAGTATCTAAGAAAGTGGAAGGCTACCGTACCAATGATGTCATTAACGGAACACTAGGAAAAACTGTAGTGACTCACATTTATCACGAGAACACGACTGGTTTAATAAGAACAATTATTATTATAACCAACTGTACCAGTGCTTGTTTTAATGTGCTTTTGTTTGACTGTGCTAATGACAGCTATATTTTGCTTCCATTCTTATACACACCTTCGGTTGTAACTTCGCGCGAATTCGGTTACGTTCTGTAACCAAGCTTCTATCCTGGCACGATCTCGGTATCCTTTCGATGCCACGAGATCGCCAGCGAATATGTCTCGATTTTGTCCATTAATTGTCTTCTGATATTTGGCTTCTCGGGGATTTAATGGAGTTATTTGGTAATGTTCAACATACGCCTTCTGATTTACTTGGCACGTGTTTCTTTGTAGTGGTGTTCATAGTCAACCGCGACTCGACACCGCGCTACAATACGATGAAAACGATTTTCCATTTTATATGCAGAGTTGTCAAAGTGGGACTTCAAATGTACGTTCGATATATCATCATCCGAAAACAGTAGCCTTAAGAAAATTCGCTTTAAAACTGTTTACCACGATTTACGCACCTTTGGATCCGGACTAAAAAATGATGGGTAGTAATTGGGAGACACCGGATGTGGTAAATGACCTCAGAAGTCGTCCTGCTGCAAGTTAAATGTTGGATTATGACGATGTATAGACCAAAAATAAAAAGTCGCGAAATATTGAGTACAATAATCACACGTACCTCAACCTAGTAGTTTAAACCAACCTACATGGAGAAGTCCAGTAGCCTACTGGAAACCCAAAACCTAGGTTTCATGTCCTCTGACATTTCAGAGAAAGAAATGCTTGAAGTTATGAATGAACTGGTACTACTTAGCTCTCCACATTCACAATCTGAAACTTCATTTGGCCGTTCTAGGAGCAACTGGTTTCTTGTCGGACCGATATGTTTACGACTAATTGGTCAATGGCTGGCTAATAACGCTATTCATATCAAACACACTATAATGTTGATTGAGTTTTGTTATTCTACTCCACATATTAGCATTATTTAGCAGCCTAGTATGGCGCCTAAACTGGTTTCTTGGCCTTTACCAAGGTAATCATGTGCTTGTTGCCCTAATAAATAAGAGTAAAATAAACATCTGACATACAGCCGTTCTACAACCCCATATGCAATAAATTATTGGAAATAAGTAGGAAGATTAGTGATTAAGAAACAATTTTATTCGGCGAGACTCTAATTTAGGGACGACCTTTGAACGAATCTTAAATGACCTTGACAATTATTAGCCAATCTGAAGACAGTTAGTATAAAGTGAAAATACATTCTAAGTCATGAATTACAGTGGGTATTCTTCTTTTACATGATTTAAAAACTTGTTAAGGTTTGATAAAGTTTCAGAGGTTCTGAATTCATAATGCATATGGTATAGAAACTCGTCCATAGGGTTAAGGTTAGGTTAGGATTAGGTTAGGGTTAGGGTGCTAACATGAGATTGGTTTACAACGGATACTATACTTCGATTGCATTTATTTAAACCTTCAAAAGTATGTGGCCGATCTTCCGAATAACTTTGAAGTTCAGTATGATGTATCAGACTGCATAAATTTATTCAGTTTATACTAGTAGCTTTGTAAGAATAAAGATCAGTTATTGGCGAAGTCACATGCCTAACTTTACTGTTGTGTAAACAAATTGGTAAATATGATGAAACTGACAACCATGTAATGGCGGTGAATTACGTGAATATATTTTTGCAATTGTTTTATATGTGAGAACATACAGGGCTTTCTTTTAAGGTTTAATGCCATTCTTTTCAATTGGTCACACGACGTAGACTTTTTGATTGTGATGACTATATATCCACCTCTAAGACCGTAAGAAATCTCTTAGCGGAGTCTACGATCTACAGACACCATAGAAACTCTGACTTACAAATTGTGAAGACAAGTCCAATAATTTTCAATAGCAAAACCGTCATAATCCCAACTCATTGTGTTTAAGTTTTCAAGTATAGTATACCTAACGTCGTTAGCAACATCGGTAGTTTTGTTATTTATTGATATTGATTAAAATAATTTGCAGTAGTTTGTTAGGGCACAACTGACATGCTAGGAGCATATCGCTATTTCTTAATTAGGATTCCTAATACACCTGCTTCAGTCTGGGCACCTGGGCAGTATCACAGCCCAAACACAAATCAAGTGATGTGTGCGGCGCATGTGTATTCGGTGCCCTTTGTATCAATATTTGTGTTCAAATAAATTTATACACCCGAGCTCATTTCTATAACACATGTTAGGAATACTACCTGGGTATTCAATCGAAGTATCCAGCCCAGTTACTGAATGTCAAGTTCTTTAACTAAAGAACCACCACATTTATAACTTTATATTTTCAAAAAGGGTTAAGAGATGACTTCACTCATACCTAGCAATAACAAAGCAGTTAAAGGAATTGTGCAGGCTAACAAAAATAATAAAGTTTCTAGATTTCTTATGTCCCATCCTGCACCAAATACCTGGAAACCCTAAGAAAATGTCTGGAACCTCATAGAGAAAGTTTTTAACTCGGGACCCACCACTAATAGGACTCTCCGAAACTATGAGCATCGAGTGGATAACATTGTTACGACTTAGTAACTGAACCTGGACCTAGATGTATCCATGAGCTCGTCTTTATCGTATTGTAAAAACAACCTAAAGAGGATTAGATATCTGGAACTGGAATGAAGAGAACCATTTTGACCAAACAAATGTTTTAATATCTTCATGGAAGTAGTTCGGTTCCGTTATTATTGTCCATAATGCCAGTCGATTGGTCATACTGTAATGAAACAAACATATATCATCTGGTAATATAAATTGCTGCATTAAACGAATACTCACCTGCACTTTGATTTACTTCACCGTAGCCCACCAAAACAAAATTTAACATAGGTGGAATTAAAAAATTCAGGAATGTTATTAAGTCAGTAGTATTGGCATCTTGTTAGTTAGTAAAACTATATTCTAAGCCTCTCAGTATATATATATATATATATATATATATATATATATATATATATATATATATATATATATATATATAAGGTAACCGACATGCCAGTTTTTCAGAATGTATCCTGTGCTTAATCCAAACCATTATGCCGCCCTGTTATAAATATAGGATACGGAAATTCTATTATTTGCTGTTTCGAAGCACCTAGTGAATGCGAAATGAATATTCCTCCCACAAAGCATAGGATTTCGTGAGAAGGTAAATTTTCTCCTGGTGTTTTATCTCGTTAGTTTATATGATTTTGGATATATATTATATAACTGACACACCTTGCAGTCATAGTGGTCGCAATAAAATATTAATAGAAGTCTCCTCTTATCTAAAGCTTTATGGTTGTAGACTACTGAAACGTGATCTTAACGTATCAGAAATCATTAGATGAAATCCCATTAACGTTACCTGTTTTCACACGATTATACCTGTTTGGTTATTAACCGTTTTCTATGTCTGTGAAGCTATGGCGACTCAATTCAGTTCGATATAACTGATTTGATCTAGTGTACGTATTATTCATAAGTTTTAAAATCAGCGTGCCGATTCCAGTATGGAACTCGTTCTGACATCTATTTTACTTTTTTATCTGGACTTCAGTTGCCAATTGGTCGATTCATGCTACTACTTTAAGCCAAGAAACAACTTATATTCACCAATGGTCACATTCTTCGGCAAACTAAGTTGTAAATTTCATACCTCTGTTAATTTTCGTGGAGGAATTCGTCAGTCATCTGAGCTACTATATGGAATTCATCCTGTCTTGTGTGCTCTTACGTTTCGTCATCGCGATATTTACCGGCTATACGTCAAAGACGTATTGAGCAACTGCAAAGATCCCGACAATCTCGTAGAGATATCAGCATCTCAAATAACCGAGAAAGCACTCAAATATGGCATACCAGTAACTCGAGTACCAGTCGAAAAGCTCAAAGAACTAAGTAATTCAAGAGCCCATCAGGGTGTAATACTTGAAGTTTCTCCTATCACCATACAATCTATTTCAGACTCGTCGATTAAAAATTTGTTATTTTCTTGGAATAATTTATCAGGCTGTTTACCATACGCGAAAAAGTATCATAGACCTACTGTTCTACTTCTGGATCATATGATGGATATCATGAATTTTGGGAACATATTGCGTTCAGCGGCATTCTTTGGTATATCTGCGGTCATACTATCTACTTCTCCGTGTGTCAGCCCATCACCTCTAATAAGCAAAATTAGTGTTGGCGCAATGGAAAGTATCTTATTTTATAGGTTAACTGATACAGTAATGGATATGAAATCCTTATCAAATGCTGGGTTTTTGATAGTTGGTACTTGCGGGGAAAGTCAACTTCCATCAACTAAAGCTTCCAAATCTACAAATTTTCTGAAACCCGATGAGGTACTGACTGTTCTGTAAATAATGTAACAGACTCACCAGTATTTTCAGCGACCGCATTGCTCAACAATTTGAACTGAATATTGAATTAATTACTTAGTAATAATCTGTCATAAACTGTGGGAAACCATGTACTTCTTTTTTTGGTCCTAATATATGTAAAACATTATTGTCGGGGCACAATATCTGTCAAACTATTCGTTCAAATATTGACGAATATTCGCATATATCCGTAAAATAGTTTCCGATGCTTTAACATATAACCATAAGTTTAGAACCTCATAAAGAATGTTCTCACAAATATTAAAAGCGTAGAAAATATACAAAAGAGTAAACCATTAAATTGTAACCAAAAGGGTATAAACCGTTTTTGTACTAAATTACACATCATTCAGCCATTTGTTCGCATATCGTTTTCAATCGCCTCGATCTTTGGATTATTATCGTAAATAAAGTGTTTTACCTTTCAGTTTACGAGATATCGACAGCTCACCAGAAACCAACGTATGCAAAATATGAGCTATCACATAAACAACATTTAAAGGTACACAGAAAAACGAATGCTAAGTAAACAACCATGAAAATACAAAGGCTTATCGTATTTCAGCACATTTTTTCAGTCAAGATATCCGAATATTATTTTATCTGTTTCTAGAACGTAATCCTTATTCTGTAGTTTCTCAAATTTCTTTTATCTTTTTACCTATAACAAAAAGGTTTGGTACTAAAAGGTGACACCAAAAATGCCCCCACAAATTGAAACCATAATGTTGCAAAATATAGCAAGATCATATAAAAATTGACTAACTAACGAGAATAGTGTTCATTGAAAGGTACATCCACAGTTTGGAGGATTCACCTAACTTTTTTGGAGAACATAATGAAAAATATACTAAGATTCCCATTGACTTTTGTTCTGAAACTTGTTTGACAACGCCTTAAACTACTATACTGCTTATTTGGGACTCATTTCGGGGGTTCTTGGTAGACAAACGGATCCCAATCCCAAACAGTTATTCTACGGCGCCACATCATAAATTGACAACGTCTCCACTTTGTCAATCCAATGCTACCGTCGAATAATGCACTGTATAAAACTCGACGGGACAAACTTCCTAAAGCATATACAAAACCCTAAATCTTGAGATATATATTCAGTCGTGTTACTTTACAAATCCTTATTCCATTTACTCCGTTGTTTTTGGTATTTTTATCTAAGTTGACTGTTTGTTAGTTTAGGTGAAAAAAATGATGTAGCAGCTTCAGTTGGCAGATCTTTTTCATTGTTAAACATTACTACGCTTACCTTGAACTTCAACACAAAGTCAATCCCAGTAACCTACTAGAAAGACCACTCCCTGACAATTTCATCTCTCTGTACTTATGGGGTATGGCAACTTGAACCAATGTGCATACGTACTAGGTTGTACGTTGTGACTGACTGACTGACTGGAAATACATTTTTACATGATTAAGTGTTCAAAATACGTTGTGTTGTTCTATTTTCAGGTGAGGGCTGTGATTGTGGTTAAAATAAAGAATTTTCACTACAGATTTTGTTAGTCCTTCCATCAAGGTTTTGAAGTTGAGATACTATGCTAAAAAACTGACAGTAATTTATTGGATGATGTCCAGTAGGGTAAACACATTTAGCAGCAGCGAAACCAAGCAGATTTTGAGAGCTCTATGTGATAAATTAATAAATGTATTATTTTGAGAAGGAAGAAACCAAGTAGTATATATACACTGTTGCAAATTTGTTTTCCTCCAGAACCGAATTATTGCCAAGTTATGTAGAAACAAACTTATTGTTTCAATGTTTGTAGTCGGATTATATTACTATCCTGTAATTATCCCACTGTTTGTAATTACTTCAGGTGGGCGCTAATGATGACAATAACACTGGAGTTTACCCTAGACCTCTGGTTTTAGCCCTGGGAAGTGAATCACGGGGTCTCAGCGAAAATATTCTAAGTGCTTGCGATTTATTACTACGTATACCAGGCTTTGGAGATTCAACCAAATTAAATCAATGTCTATCACAAAGTATTACATCATCTTTAAATGTATCCGTTGCTGCTGGTATTTTATTATATCAGTTAACTATGTTTCGGCATGGACACGAAGCTGTTGACAAATCCTCTTTTATTTCCCATACTGAATAAATCCTCTTTAATCTGTTTATGAGATTACTTTCACAACTTATATATATCTTGCATCTATTCCAATTTTGTGCATAGTTATATTCGATCAGAAATCATTTATTTTTTTGGAATATGTTACTTTGTTTTCAAATAAATTGTTATTATTCATTTCTTCTGTTTTCTTGTCTGAATTCTAATGAAATGTCGATTTTATTTGCATTTTCTTAAATGTTCGTTGACTTATTATTATTTTACTAGTTCAGTACTACCACTTGTCTAACCATTCCATACTAGGTATTCTGATAAAGTTAAAAATTCCTGTAAACACTGATACGGTGTCAAGTACTACCATGATTTGTTTTATTGACAAATAAAACGGTAGCATCTATGCAATATATGTTTAAACTATCCTTTTCGAAAATTTGTCTCCATGTGTGGGGAATTCGTACTTAAACTTTGACCAAGTCGTGGTGTTAATTGTATCTTTATGGACAGTTTCTTATTTTCTATCTACAAATATTGGCTTGCTTACCAGTTTTTTTTCTACTAAGGTTCATTTTAACTTGTTAATTAATTATTTACCGCTCAGAGCTCATATCTTAATAAGCAGTAAATCATGAGTTGGTTTTTTTCACCGTTTCATAAAATAAAAGGTTAGAAATGTGCATGGATTAATTTTATTAAGAAATCGAAATAAATCAAATTTCATATTCTGTTCTTGTGATTAAAAACTACTTATGAGGAATTGATCCATTATAGAGTATTATTGTTTAAACAACAAAAGACAGTCGACTTTTACGATTTCCCCATAATTCGTTCAAAAAATGCTAATACTATTGTTGTCACTGAATTGGCAGATTTGTTTTCAGTAGACTATAGCAATTTATGGAGGTTATCTTGATTTTCTGAAGTAGTCTTTGGGTTGTTTGTTGGAAACACTTGGGTAAAAGCGTATTGATTGAAGGGTGAATCATCCACTTCACGTGTTTGAAAGATTTACTCAAAGTTTCATATCATGATAACATTTCGCATATCTCTACTTCGCAATATCTACATTCAACTTTCTTGTAACGCGTTAAAGGTCATCTTTCCATTTCCACTTAACATTTTGGGTCTAACTCTAAACTCATTAATGTTTGTATAAGGGTGTTACTAAAATAAGTACTGTAACCTGTAGGTAATGTTATCATAAGTTTAGAAACTAACTTATCATAATGCATTTGATAAATTCTTAAGGACATTACCCTTTCAAAAATTATAGCTATTCACAATGACGTTTTGATGATGATCAGTTTTACACCAAAAAAGTTTACATTGTTATATCAAATGTAGATTAATTCATGTTTTATGTCGCACATAAAGGTTGCAGATATTTGCCAACTTTTTTTCCCTTAGCCTACAAAGAGATTATGAAAAGTGAACAAACTGGTGAAGTTTTGCTCCCACCGTCTGCTTTTCTTATCTCAAATCCTAATCATTTCAATTGCCCTCAGGATGTGAGCAATGATGCTGAACGCACTAATTCGGCAATAAGCAATAAGAGCACTAGAAAATTGTCAATAAGCTCGATTATTTCTAAGTAAGTAATCTAAAAAGTTATTCTAAATGCTCTTCTAGAGTTGTATATATCTGATTAGTATAACAGTGTTAATGAATAATGCACATTCATAAATTTTTTTGTTAAATCAAATCGCCCAGCGTTTTAACTTCTCTTATTACTACCCAGCTACTCATCGCTTAGCATTCTTGGACATTACTTCACTCGACAAGTCCCTAAATCAGAACACGATTCAACAGGAACGCAATTATGTTACAAATAGAAAGGGTAGATGGAAGTAGGAATCACAATAAAAGAAACGTTAGTATATTTATGGTTTTTTACATATAAAGATTCTAGGTTTATTAATTACCGACATGCTCCAATAACTATTTGTAACGTTATCACCGGGCTGTTGCTAAATTTGACTAGGAAGATGTGTGGATATCCTCATTTCTTGGAAATCGAAGACCCACAGATAAAAATGACGTTTGAACTGGTCATCAAAGAGGGGGATCAACTGGAAGCGTTCACATCCTCTATTAATAATACCAGCATAATTGATAAATTCATTAAATTCTCGTTTATAAGTTTTATATGTTGATCATAATCCTCAAAAATCGACTCAATTTCAGCTAAAGAACCTATCGTATCTACATGTGAATTTAATTTTATCGATTCGAGATTCACCTCCATTTAATTATAAACCATTGTTTGTTTAACCTTGTATTAACATAGGGTTAAAGAGAACTCTTTAGTACTACGTACATATTCTTGAAAATCTGTAGTCATTCAGAATAGTCTCTCTCAGAGACCAGTTCTTCCCAATAAATTACACACTATGCAATCACTCAACGCATTACAAACCTGTACAGTAACAATAACTACCGTTTAATATTGAACGCGAAAACGATTTAGAAAACAAAATCGAACTCTTCAACGCTTAGATCTTTTAAGGTATAATCCTTAGCAAAAATGTGATATCTACCATTTCGAAAACCCTAATGATGCTACTGTTATGCGTGCTACCTTTGTAAAACATCTAATCATGTTTGTCATACATTGCCATCTCCTCTATTATTGACAGCAATGTGCTAGCAAAGTTTATTACTATTATAGTGTGTATTCTACTAATTATGATGTGCTTTACAACGATGCCACCTTTGATTACCTATTTCATGTTATTTACCAATGTTCAGTCAAAATTTATAAATCGCGTCTGTTCTAAAGACATGTCCTAATTTTCAATGTTACCTCTTCTTTTGTATCAACCTGGTCAAAATAGTATATTGTAATAAATTCTATTATCGTGTTCAGAGTATATTATTGTTATTATTAATTAAGGGCACAATGTCCTTTTGTATGTATATATTAGGGCTTCTGATCGCAAATTACTAGTTTAATCAAAACAACTTTATAACCGATTACAGATTCATTTGTTTGATTATAGTCCATACTTTATATATAAGTGCTAGTGAAGATAGTTATTGACTATAAGCCTAATTAGGTTTAGCAGGGTTCAAACCTGTAACTCAAACGTTCAATGCTTTAATTCATAAACTATCATTCATACAATGTAAAACATGTTGCAATTCTGCTAGCAGTAATTCTTTTTATTTTTCCAAAGTGCGTATCATAGATGGTGAACATTTGTAGCTCAAGTGGACGAACAAAACTCCACCAAATTGCGTATCATAGATTTATTAAAAATAAGTTATATTAATTTGTTTTCAGACTAAATAAGAATTCAGCTGATTTAAACGATGATGGTCATTTTGATCGAATCAATTCAGAAGACATACAATTCAATTACACCAACAAATTTGTTAATGAACTGAAACAAGAAAATGAATATCTTTTACGAAGTCAGACGAAAGCTTTAGACGAATTGAACAAAATACGAGGATACATTGGATTGGGTAGAGTTTCATCTAAAATTACATCTAAGGAAGATTCTCTTGAACAACATAAATGTATTTGCGATACAGAATTACTGGAAAAGGTCATATATAAATTTTAACTAAATGGTTTGAATTAGACTTTTCGATTTCTAATCTATGTATCTTTTTACTCTGCCACTTCCTATTTATTAATGACTTTTGCTTTCATCGAATTCTTTGTCTTAATATAGGTTTCGAGAGTTACAATATCTTTTTTAACGTTTCCAGCAAATAATTAAATTAAAGGTCTAGCTATCAGCGTATAATATCACTTGTTTTTTTTTAATGATGTAATATTATTAATGCTGTAAGATAAATAATCCGTTAACGGTTGACGAGTTGTTGGACGTTACCCTAATCACCGGAAATGACTGAGTTATATGATCATTTGTACAAATTTAATCGAATAGTTTCACAGAAATTGGGCACCGATCATTGTAAAGACATCTGTAAAAACTATATTGAATAATCTCGGGGACTAAAACGTAAATGATTACAACGTTCATGTTTGGGAAAAACATTCAAGCAACTGGATGTGAAGTTAAAGAAGCATAAAAATTGTTTGAAACATGCCCCATAAATCCTCACTAGACCTCAATAAGTTAGAGGATATATCTATAACTGCACTGCATTGATTAGAAACAGGACATAAGACCAACTTCAAAAGAATCAAAATTCAGAAAAGTTTTGGCATTCATTCACAGAGAACCAATGCCTATATTGGTAAATAAGAATAGCTTGAATAGAAAAATGATCGGATTAGCTGCATCGTGACAACTGTTAATGAACAAACAAATTTTCGAACCATATCATCCAGCCTATCTATGCAATCTGTAGTTGAACTCCAGCTAAAAGACCGACGCCTAATAATTCAGTCAGTTATCATAATTGAAAGTCGCCTTCAATTATTTTCAATGTTTAGCATCACAACTAACTCTTACTGTTCACATCCTACATATATTACGACTACCTAAATTTACTCAAGTGTACTTATCGATTTATAGTAAACAAAAATGATGAATATGTCCCTGATTGTAGTCAGAGGATTCATTTACCCACTAAATCCTTAATTTAAGAATAACATAAAGACACGCATAAATGCTTATTCTTATCCCACATTGTGAACAAATTCCACATAAGGACTCATTATATTACTATAAACAAAACCAACATTTAAACGTAATTAAACACGTTTTTTGGCATTATTTGGTTTGTAAACTTTATTTATATTTAATAGGTTTTTTCTTGATTGTTTCTCTGAAGAAGCTCAAATCATTTGCTAGAAGGAACGCCGAAATTATTTTAATATCAATCGTTGAGTCTGCTCAGACATAATTTTCGTATCATGACTGAGCTAGTTTGGTTATATACATCTTTGTCCTAAAACTATTAGTTTCTATATGTTGGTTAGTATAAAAAAACGTTGCACTCTACCACTCGCCTTATTATATATATGTTGAGACGCTTTTGAAGCATTATCTGGTCACTTTTTTGTATAATTAGAGGAAATAGTTACAATAAATGTCATCTTGAAGCAATATTCTTTTAGGTTGCTTTCTTTCACACCTTTGTATTTTTAGTTCAATGTAGCATTTTTTTGATGATCTTCTGAAGTCTGGTTCTTTTTGTGACGTCAGAATCAGCTGCTTCAGCAATTCACTAGTTTCTATTTGGAATTCGGAATGGTCCTTTTTATTTTCTTATCTAAAGCCATAATAGAATCACCCAGATTTGCCTTTATACATTTTCCAATTATTTTCATCTTGTAGCTGAAATATTTGGAGAATAAAAATTCTGAGTTAAATCTGCAACTTGAACAAATGAATAGTCGAATGAGTAGTTTGGAGACAGTTTTAGAAATTCAAGAAAAACAGTTGTCCAGAGAAAGTGGTAATGAAGTGTTACCTATTAATAATAAGTAAGTTTCACTATCTTTTTAGAAATTGTACAGACTGACATTTTTACTCGATGCATTCCGTTTATACGAAATAGTAACGTGATTATGATTCAAGATTGACTAACTGAATATTTGAAACCAAATCGTATGAATGGTCAAGATTTATATGACACGAATATAAACTGACTGATATAGGCACTAGAAAGTTAGAATATGATCACCAGTTTACAATATTGGTTTCTTTACATCCCTCATATATGTTATTTCAACAATCTGCCCAAGAATATTACAAACACAATTTTCTCACTAAATAAAATAGCTACTCAACTAAAACCACTTCGACCAACTATCCAGCGATCCTTCGTTTATTCAAAATCAAGTTTCAGTTTGCTACACAATAATGTCGTCACGTTATCTGTGAGAGTTCCTATTGAACAAAAATTTATACGTTGTCTATACATCTTGAAATATGTCACCTATATGCTGATACCGAAAATCATTCCAATCATGAAAAATATTTATAATTGAAAGTTGCATACCAACCATTAAAATGAATATGTGCTAGCCTCGTATAGGTTCCTAATCCTATCGACGAAAGCAAAATTACGTTTCACAATGTGTCTTACTATTTCTTGACAAAGAGGTTCAAAATATTTTACTAATCCTCTTCCATCTATAAATTGAGTCTGCCAAATTGAAGAATGGACGTTAACTAATCATTAATCTCTACCATGTTAATAATCACAAATCTGCATCTCAAACAGTTGTAAATAATAACCAACTCCGTGTGTACATAGTTGTTACGTAATACAATAATCGTCAATAGATGTAGATATGGCCTACCAGAGATATGTATCGATTCAAGTTATCATATATAAGAGATGATAAATTATTAGGAGAGATAAAGAAGAGAAAATAAAAAATAGTACTGAAACTAGCAAAGTCTATGAGTAAAAAAAGCTACTAATAGTTATAAAATAATATTATTGAAGTGATTTTCAAGTTATACGACGTAAACCGTAGATCTTAAATATCTTCACCACCAATGAAAGATTTTTCCTCACCTACATGACTCAGACCAACAGACAACATCTTCTGTAATTATTATTTTCAGAACATAAATTATTATTATAATTATTATAAACTGATCCTATATATCTATCTAGCCGCTTCTATACTCTTACAAACCTGATTCTTTGCTAACTAACATAGCGCACCAAGGTAGAAGGTGGTTAGACGTGTAATACAAAAATCTTAGTCAGTTTAGTCGACTAAGATTCACAATCTATCCAACCAATTGATCATCTCTATCTTACACTCTCTTTCTTACCGCAGCATTTTCGCTTGATAATTCCACCGTATTCGAGCAACAATTCAAATACACATTACAAACCTTGTAATCTGTGCATATTACCTACTTTCAGAAGCCACTTTTAACATCCATGTATTGAAAAAGAGCGGATTAACCAGACCATAAACTCACCTTTTGACAAATAATTGGATATCCTACCTCCCTCACAAGTAGTGTAACTTTACAAAGGGAAAAAAGACACTAATATCTGCAGCTTGAATTCATCAATCACGAACTTACTATGATTGATAAAGCTATCATGATAAGTGAAGAGACTAATTCTCTTGATTAGTCCACTTCCTATTATCAGACCAAAAAATACATCTCATGCATTTACAATCATGTATTCTGAAAAAATATCTGTCAGTATCTTCATTACTGAAGATTATTTCGTGTACATGCTCCAAGATGATGGGATAAACTCTTAGTAGGACACCTTTGCTTATGAAGTCGAAAAAACGTGACTTTTCTAAGAAGTGTATATACATACTTAAACCAGGAAGGCAGAAAACACTGACTCACATCAATTGACGTTAATAATAATAAAGCTTTACGCCAGAAAAATACAAAGCTTTCCTTGTGTAACTGGATTTTCTCTTCATACACACAGTTGTGACACGTTCACTTTTATTCACATCCTTTTATTAAAATTTAAGTTGGAGTTTTTTCTCTGAAAATATCTTTTTAATTCTTACAAGCTGAACTATCATCATATATGTACCTAGTTGTTAAGTTTGTAGCTCTTTTACCAAAGATAAATCATCATTTCCTTGCATAATCTATCGTATTGAATTCATATCTAAATATCACATGGTCAAATTGTGTTTATTTCTGACTATCATTTGTTAATTTAAATGCCTCATTTCAGTTATATTAATAATTCCCATGTGCAGTATAGATTCATTTTGCAAATATAAATTTAAATTAGGTCTGGAAAAGTGGAAAATTTACTTTGCACATGGCGTAAACATGTTTTACGCTTACTTATTGAAATAGAAAATCTTAAGTCTGAAAATTCTCATACTGTAACCAAATCAAAGTGTGCCTATGAAAAGCTACTTTCAGAATTTGAATCTTTAAAAACAACTTTAGAAGCAACTGAATTTAAACTGAAAGCTAGCGATTCTGCACTGAACGTAGAACGTAATAAAAGACAGGTAAGTAGAGGTTTTCTCTGTACGAAATAATAATGAAATTAAATAATTGAAATTCTATACTTTTTGTGTTGATTAAAACTAGTATACGCTATTAGATTCAATATCATGACGTATACTCAGAGAAAGGAAACTTCCCGAATAATAATACCATGGTTGTGAAAGTATGGTCCAAAAGATTAAGATTGTTACTCTCCTCGAAATTGTCTTCGGGTTACAAAGTACACTTATATTTGTCCAACAACTTTCATTGTAGAGAACTTAGGAGTAACAGGTTTAACTCATATATATTCTGTTATATCTCGTCAGATGCCCATTGTTATTGAACTATGACACCCATTTGTAAGTATAAGGAAAAACAAACCCTATTGATTGGTTGTACCCTCATCTCATTAGTGTTTTTCTTGTTTAATTTATTTAAAAATGAAAATCTTCGGTTAAAAAATAACCAATAATGGGTAGTGTTTTGGTAAAACTTTAAATGTTCTTAACTTTACATACATTTATATATAAACTTGGCTTTCATATCATTGATATTATTAGTAAACTATCGGCTAGTAATTAACTCCTCCTGTAGCTTTCCTAGGGCTACTGCCGGTCCCAAACCCAGGTAAAGAAGTAGGGTTGGGCGTGGGGTCGGCAACCCCATCCCGTAAAAAACGGCCTTGCTAAAAAACACTAACCAGAATATACAATTTGAACCACTTAAACTCTCCCCTCAGGGTTGAAGGAAGAACTATAATGCCTCATGATGAAAGCCGAGGTTCTTCGGAAGGACCAGTCAAATAACAACGGAAATGAGGCGGTACAACTTGACAGTCCTCGGAATCAGCGAATCCCATTGGACCCAAGCTAAACAGCGAAGGTTAGGTACGGGAGAGATTCCGCTACACTCCGGTCACGAGGAGGAAAATGCTCCACACACGCAGGAAGTTGCTCTAATGCTGTCAAAGAAGCACGCAATGTACTTATAGGATGGGAACCTTATGTATCCAGGATCATCAAAGCATCCTTCAAAACAAAGGAAGAGGGCATTACAATGAATGTTATGCACCCACCTATGATAGCAATGATGACGATAAAGATCATTTCTACTCGAGGCTGCAATCTATCATAGAGAAGTGCTCAGGAAAGGACCTGAAAATCCTAATTGGAAATCTAAACACCAAAGTCGGAATGGAGAACAACAGTTATGAAGATACCATGGGACGACATGGACTGGTTGGGAAAAAGGAAGAAGAATGGCGAGAGATTCGCAAATCTATGTGCACTCAAAAAATTGGTTATAGGCGGCACAATATTCACACACAAACACATACACAAAGCTACGTGGGTCTCACCGGACCACATCACAGAGAATCAGATAGATCATATTTGTACCAATAGAAAATTCAGAAGGACAATAGAAGACGTAAGAACCAGGAGAGGAGCTGACATAGCTTCAGATCACCACTTGGTGGTTGCCAAGATGAAATTGAAGCTAAAGAAGCATAGGAAAACTGAACAAACAGCATTAAAAAAGGTTCAATACAGTCTTCCTTCGAGATACTGACAAACGTAACTAATCCAAGATAACTCTCAATAACAGGCGCCTATCCTTACAGGATCTACTTAAAGAAGAAGAAAGTGCCATGGAGGACAACTGGAAAGGGATCAAGGAAGCTCTAACTTCAACATGTCAGGAGGTTCTGGACCGAAAGAAGCATCGTCATAAGGAATGGATCTTTATGGAAACCCTGGACATGATTCAAGAAATGAAGAACAAAAAGACAACAATTAATAACAGCCAAACAAGAGCAGATAAAGTCAAGACACAAGCTAAATACACCGAAGCAAACAAGCAAGTGAATAAAAGCATTAGAGCCGACAAGCAAAAATACCTAGTAGACCTAGTAGCGACAGCGGGGAAAGCAGTAACAGAAGGAAATATGAAACAATTGTATGACAACAAAGAAACTGACAGGGAAATATAGTAAACCAGAGAGACTCGTCATGGACAAAGAAGGCAAGACAATCACCGAGATTCAAGAACAGAGAAACAGATGGAAGGAGCACTTCGAAAAACTCTTGAATCGACCAGCTTCGTTGAATCCAACGAACATCGAAGCTGCACACACAGACCTTCTTATAGATGTCACTCCACCAAAGATCGAATAAATCAGGCAAATCAAGAATGAGAAAGCAACAGGACTTGACAACATACCAGTCGAAGCACTAAAGTCAGACATAGAAGTAACTGGAAGTATGCTTTACGTTCTATTTAGGAGGATTTGGAGGAAGAACAAGTGCCGACAGACCTGAAAGAAGGATTCCTCATCAAGATACCAAAGAAAGGAAACCTTAGCAAGTGTGAGAACTACAGTGGTATCACACTACTGTCGGTGCCAGCACATGTTTTCAACAGTGTTGCTGAAACGGATGGAAGACTCAATAGACGCCCAACTTCTAGACCAACAGGCCGGATTCCATAAGGATTGGTCGTGCACAGACCAAATCGCGACACTATGGATCATTGTTAAACAATCAATTAAATGGAGTTCGTCACTGTACACCAACTTCAATGATTATGAAGATGCATTTGACAGTACGGATAGGAGAACCTTCTTCGACACTGGTGTACCTGAGATCGTCAACATCATACAGAATTCATACGATAGACTACACTACAAAGTCGTGCATGGAGGACAGCTGACAGATGTATTCCAAGTAAGGACCGGAGTTAGACAAGGTTGACTACTCCCCCCTTTCTCTTTCTTCTGGTGGTTGACTGGATTACGAAGACCTCCACATTTGACAAGAAGCACAGAATAAAATGGAAAGGTTCGATGCAACTAGACGATTTCGACTTCGCAGATGACCTAGCTCTTCTATCCCATACATACGAATACAGATGAAGACAACTAGTGTACCAGCAGCCTCTACAGCAGTAGGCCTCAACATACACAACGGGGAAAACAAGATCCTCAAATACAACACGGAGAACATCAACCTAATCACACTCGATGGAGAAACTCTGGAGGAGGTGGAAAGTCTTACGTACCTGGGTAACATCACCTATGGACAAGGATGATCTGACTCACATGTGAAGGAAAGAATGGGCAAAGCAAGGGCAGAATTCCTACAATTGAAAAGTGTTTGGGACTCGACACAACCTTCAGCCAAAATGAAAGTCAGATTCTTCAATACGAACGTCATGAAATTTCTAGTGTACGGAGATAAAACTTTGAGAACTACCACAACCATTATCAAAAATGTACAAGTATTTATAAACAGTTGTCTACGCAAGATACTCAATGTTCGTTGATCGGATACCATCAGCAACAACCTAGAACAAACCAGCTTCCAGTTGAAGAGGAAATTAAGAAGAGACGCTCGTGATGGATAGAACACACATTGAGGCAATCATCAAACTGCATCACGAGGCAAGCGCTAACTTGAAATTCTAAAGGGAAACGAAAAAGAGGAAGGGCAAATAACACACTGCGTCAAGAATTGGAAGCAGACATGAAAAGGATGAATAGCGACTGGAAAGGATTGGCCACGACAGAGTTGCGTGGAGAATGCTGGTAGGCGGCCTATGCTCCTCGACGAGGGGTGACAGGTGAAAGTAAGTAAACTGGCTAGTGATTACTACTTTAGTTAACTTTCCAAACTTATATTCCTTACCAGTAAATCAAAACAAATATTGACTTAATAGTTGATTCTGTATGTTTCATCATATATATGAATATCTTGTTTAGTATGTTCAAATCCCAATAGATGTATTTCATATGTAGAGACCAGTTTTTAGTTATAAATCCCAAAACAATACGGTCGGTTTAAAATTTACCACATGAACCTGCACTTGGTTAGTAGTTTCCATCAATGAATAAATCAGTATTCCGTTCCTTTAATGCGCGCCTTTCCAATCATTTAAATGTTATAGAAAGTACAGAATTTCGTTTAAATTTTTGTAATATACTTTTTCATAAACCAATTAAAGTATGTGGGATATGTTCTTCAAAATGTGTCTTTGTTTAGCCAGAGTAGATACTTCGTTTCGATAAGACGGTAGTTAGAAGACAACTAACGTTTTATTTAGTGGACAACTTCCCTGAATAGAATCATGGCTCCAATTAGTTGTTCGTATAATTCTTTATCAATTTATATAAAAAATGAAATCAATCTTCAACTACATATTAATTTCGTGTAAACCATCCACCTTCCTTATATTGCTAAACTTCAGTCATCTTTTAATGAAGTTGGACTATAACCAGCAGTGAAAGCCAAAACATATGTTAGCTGGACTCACTTTTATTCCGGTGCTGAAGTTCACACTGGGACTCCAGCCCAATACCTATCACTTTAAACCCCGATACGTTGTTCACTAAATTACAGAGTCCAAATTTCCACTGTGTTCATTAGATATGGAAAGTATGAATATCACGGGGATTTCGTGTGAATTCAACTGACGAGTCATAAGTCCTCTCTCTGGATTCAACTGCTACCCAAAATCTAAATTTGATCTAGCTTACAACTATATAGCAATATCAAGACAAACTAGTTAGTGTACACTTTATGCCGAAAGAAACTGATCGATCCTAATTCTTAATACCAACAACAGAAAAAGTACAAACCCTTACAAATTCAAATGTTTTTGTTTGAGTAGTACAGTCAATGAACACAAAATCCTAATAAAATGAATTAATAAGGCTACTTTGAGATATATATTAATGAGTTGATGTTTTTGATAAGTTGTACGATAAATACCATTGGAAAATAATTCCTTAATTTCATTATCATATTTCTCAAAGTAATTCTATTCGCTAATTTTTGTTATTAGGGATTCGAAAAAGATTTGGAAAGTTTACACTCAAAATTAGCAATGACTCAATCAAATTTAATAGAATCTCGTGAGAATTACAAGAAATTCGCTTTAAATACAAAACAAAATCTTGATCAAATTGTAAAAGCTATACAAACGTTTATGAATTGGCCAGAATCCGGTTCACCGAGTCAACAAACTCCAATAACAATATGTTCAGTTTTTCGTCGTTTAAGACATTTAGAAAGGCGTTTAGAATTTGCTAACTCTCGTCTTCCCGTTTTACGCACTCGTTTATTGTTATCGTCATCATTATTACACCGGAAAGCAGATGTAGACCAGTCAACGCAAGTCAGCTACGAATTAAAACATTGGATTGGTGATATTTTATCAGAATCAGAGAAAGAAGAGTAAGTCAAAGTCGGTTCCATTTAAATTCCTATCAATTTAATATTTACAAATTCACAGAACAATTTATTATTTTATTGTAATTAGATAATAACTGGTGTTTGTGATTTATAACAGATGTCCGAATATCATTAGTCTTTCATTAACCTTCCCAATCTCTTTGAATCTTCCGATCTTTCGCCACGCATAACGATGATTTAGCGTTTCTCTTTAAAAAAAGACTTAGACTTTGTAAAAAATGGCAGCTATTCTGAAGAATGTTATCTATCTTTTGTTTATGATAATAAAAAAGTAGTGTGTAAAATGCATAAGAAGGAACTTGTTTTCTTTTTGCATTGAAAATCAAAATCTCGTAAAAGAACAAAAAAGTTGTATTTTAGTAAGTTTATGGTCTAAATTAGATGTGTCAAGAACGCTGAGCAATAATCGACCAAATTTAATCTGGCTTACCTATATGTCCTTGCATAATAAAATAATGACATCTATATTCCCATAGCTTTTTAAGCGATTCCAATTCATCAACGATATATTTTGTTTTCTATGCAACAAAAATTGATATGCTAGATTTATTTTCATAGTCATAAAAGTATTATATAATAATCGCAGTGTGTGCAATTTCTACTTTTTTAATAGGATCATTTCTCAGGCTCAAACCGAGACCCTTAGGGCTATAAAAGAGCGTGACCGAGCATTAGAACAGTTGTCCGATTATGTTAAATCATTTGATAATCGTGTTCAGGATGCTGAGAAAGCAGGTTTGTCTTAGATTTTGATTGCATGATATTATCCTAAGTTTGATCTATTCATATCTAATTATTAAGTCATTCTGGAAGTACAAGAGTCATCATTACATGTGTATTCATATATCTAACAGAATATTTTCCTTTATCTTGGGGAAAGGGTCCCCAAATACCCTGGTACAGACGAGAGTGGGGAGAATCAGCTCTCCCTTTTGAAGTGCTCTCACATGGCCACGTGTATACAACCACTACCAGGGAAGTCTTACTCACTGCCTTCTCGCGGTGGGGATGTTGTTTACGAAATCGAGAGGACGAAAAGTGAATGTTCGGTGCTTTAACCGGGTCGGTAAACACCAAGAGTCCACCTAGGGTTGTTGAAAAACCCTGATTCCAAACCAATGGTGTACAGGGGCTCCAGGACCCTGGTTGGTCAGCGGCTACATCTTTTGACGTTGCTCCACGACCTTGTGGATCAAACCTTAGGGTCAAAGGCTCCGGGTGTTGCCCCCCCTAAGAAGATCACCTGCTTCGGTTTTGGCACCAGGGCAGTATCCCAGCCCTCACATAAATCGAATGATTTATGTGGCGCATATCTATTTGGTGCCTACTTGTACCAATGCTTGTGCGTTCAAATAAGTAACTCTATCCCACATCTGATATTAGATGCCTTGTAATTGTACATTAAAAAATAATTATATTTATAAAGCGGACTTATCCTACTGTTAATTTTACCTTACCTGTTCTTAGTTGAAAAAGAATTATCAGAACTTCGGGAAGCAAACAGAATTTTGAATTTATCTTTACATGATGAACAAAAGGTTAGTTAGTTTTATTGATTAAAACTAAATAATGGTTACTACTCACTAATTAGTGTAAACATCTCAGTCCTGAAGGTAGGAGATCAATAGTGATCGGAATAGTTCAGTGGTAACCTTTCTAGTTATAGTTCTAAGTGACTTGTTAGTTTTTGTAAAGCAGCATCATTCCCTTCAAGATTACAAATCAACTTTATTTAGAGTACCAAGCAGCATAAAACGTACGTTAAAAGCTTTCTACAAATTGCTTCTTATCGTTTAACATCAAAGTGATTTATTTAAACTCAGAGACTAATTAGTATAGGAATGAGTCTTGTAGAGAAATGTACGCCGAATATTGGTTATTAAAAGTTAAAGTTCTATGTTTTTATAGTGAAAAATAATTTCGTTTGTATGTATTGTCTACACAATGTGTATAAGATCCCTGTACATGAATTAATTCTAAATAGTCTGTCAGTCGTTTTACATATGGATATAATTATATTCTAAAAATTGTTCAGTTTACAATATATATTACAATACTTAGTGTCTTAATATTAAATTTCTTTATACAGCTTATGCATAACTTTTAAGTTTCTTGTATAAAATATTCAACCCAAACAGTATGCCTACGATTGAGTTGCTCAATAGATGGTTAATTAAAAGAAATAGTTTATCAAGAATAAATATCAACGTCACAAATTAACCAATAATCATTCACTCCTTTACATCGTAACAGTGCTATATATTCTATTCATTTCTAATACGTGTATGTTCAACGGTAAACACTTGAATATAATAATAAATGTCTGTAAACGCTCATAGCGATGTTTTTTACTTGCCATTTCTCAAGATTCCTGAGTGTAGAAAACTGTTTTTCAATAATAGCTTCGATATTTTGTTTTCAGTTAAGCGGTTCCCAAATTAACATTATTCTGTTAAATATTAATTATCCGTATGCTATTACGACAAATGTTTCATCTAAGACGTAAAGTGAATAGTCTAGTGAGAACTACACCACCAATCCTATTAGTTCTATATATGCAAATGTTTCTTACTAGGTGGGCGAAATATTTCTGGTTACTGTGTTATTTTTATTAATTTGTAAAATGACGATAATGATCAGCTGAATACTTGTTAGTGACATTTTTTTCACTAGTCAGATAAGACTGATCAAAGTTATAATTTTAAAATTTTTTTAAAAAATAAAAAAAAAAAAAAAAAAATTTTTAAAAAAAAAAAAAAAAAAGGGGTTATTGAAAAAAGATTTATTACTGTCTCTTTTTGTATACATAGATCTGGTTTTAAACGTTTGATTGCTAACGCTTCAGCGAATTTCAAAAGGTTCGAGTTTGATTGTTTGTTAATCACCTTGAAGGACTTCAGTATATCAGCTTTATGTCCTGTATCAAGGAGATGTCTGGCGATAGCACTGTTGAATGCGTTCAATCCCTCCCTCCCTCTCAGTAATTCATCATTAAAATCTGGTTAAATCATGAAACCTGTTTGGTACTACGTATCCAACAGTCCATTACTGTATTTTTATGTATGAACGTTTCTCATCAATGTTGTACAAACTATACTTCAATGGAACGAAGTAAAATTAATTCACTGTGTGCATTAGTCATTGCTTCAGTGCTCGTCAATTTGGGAATTGATGTTTTCTCAGTATAAATAAAATAAGGTTTTTTCTTTGACTTTTATCGGCTTACACTATTTACAGTCTTGTTCTATGAAAATTCATCCCTTAAAAGAGGCTATCCAAACAGCGCAAAATCCATTCCACTAAATCATCAAAATTTTTAAAAATATGATTTCCCATCGCTGAGAAATATATAAGTTCAGTTATAAGTAAGTAGTACAAAGTTATCAAATCATCTAGACAAGTTCCCAGTTTTTAAGTACTTGAGCAAGAGTTTTTTTTTATTCTTACGGTTAACTAACCTATCTTTTTTTCACCATATCTATTAAATTTATTCCAATGGCAATATAAATACATTGAAGTAAAAGCCCTTACAAATTCTTAAATATTACTTCCAACTTTAAATATGTTACTTTACAATTTACTTATATTAGAAATTAAAAGAATGTTCAGATCAATTAAAAATTGAAAAACTAACTAATAATGATCTCGAACAAAAGTATACAGATGAAATTGGACATTTAAAAACTCAACTCTCTGAAACGGATATGAAGCTTACCAAAGCTTTAACGGAACTACGTCGGGCTGAACGCCGTGTAGATCGAGAAATTAATGAAAGAAAGTTACAGGTGACTTTAAAATTTTGTTTTCTTTTCTTATAAAGTCAAATAGATCTGTACGGCTTACAACCAAATTATTATCATGTTTTATAAAATGTAGAAAACAGACAGGTTTACTAATTAAGATATCCTTCAAAGTAGTAGATTTACTTAACTTCAAACTATAAAATCTGAGCGTTCTCAATTGTTAACCTTTAAAGACAGATGATGTGTCTGTATATGATTAGATCCAACGTAGTTTCATTACAACACTTACAAGAAATCCATTTCAGATCATTCCCGTTATTAAGAATGTTAATTTTCAGTGACACTACCCATTTTATTGTAAATAATATTCTTTTATCTTTCTTCTTAATACGATTCTAGGTTATTACGAGCCTTATCTGAATATAATAGTTGCTTATATTAAGCATTTTTCGACACTATACTTCTGTTATTACTTCATATAATAGAATTACAGTTTACGTTCGTGTGGTCATATAATTAAGAACATTTTCTGCAAATGACTCATATCTGACATCAATACAAGCTAAGACAGCATTTTTCAGTTTATCGAACTAGTTATTTTATGTGCTTTATATACTCATATCCAAACACCACCTACTTCAATTCACTATTTTTGCTGACATAAAATTAGTTTCGGAGGGGAAGAGGCTTTTCATAACAAAATATTACGTCAATTAATGATGTTATCGTTGGTCGGATCCAAGTGCTCTAACTTTTCAGATGGGTCAGTAAAACGTTTCAAGTCCAAGTTTAAATTGTCAGGTAACATAACTCAGAAGCTGCTAGTGGCACAGATGTATCACTACTTTCCTCCGACTTTCAGGTGCTACTAGATTATTTCCTGTTTTTTATTGCTTTCGTCCTTCTATTTTTCTTTACTTTACACAAGTTTTATGTTCAAGCCGAAAAACTTTCGTTCCAGGTTCTAGTTACTTTCGTCCTGTGTATTTAGTTCCATGTAGTAACGTTTGTCTAATGTTGTAACTGTACATTGGACATAGATCTAGTGCTTCCAAGACACAATTGTCATAGGGATATAACTTGTGTATAAAATTAGATGGATATCTTAGACTAATGAGATACATCAAAAGGCAAATCGATTGTAGACAATTCTCCCACTTTTTATCACAATTTCATCTTCAGTTTTTTCTTCATTGGTTCAACACAGATCAATAGTATTGAGAATACCTACAAATCCAAAATTCAAACTCTAGAGAATGCACTTCATTCGTTTTATCCAGAACCTTATCACTGCTATGGTAACAATACAGCGAAGTCACCAAATGTTATTCAAAAAATGACAAGTCCAATAGTACCTACATTTGCAAGCCATATTGGTAGGTTTATTTTAAGTCGCTTAACTTCCTCACATTTTAGATCTCAATGAATCAATTCGTAAACTTGACCACCTTGCTGATCGACTAAATAGCGATTTGTCAAGCGATTCAGATGCTGAAAAAGATGTTGAACAGTGACTTGTAGAAATGTGAAGGCTGTACATATTTTCATATTTTAGTTTGTCTTCACCGTGATACACTACATTAAAGGTATGCTAATATAAGAAATGTTAATATACATATAACAAGCGGAAAATTCTTCAAATGTAATTCCTATTTATGAAATTTTTGATAGTGTACCAATCAGAAATCGCCAAATGATAAGTGCATGTGGTTGGCCAACAAATGGCTTTATTTTTCAAGGAATAAAATATAAACCACTGATAGCTTTGATTTCCAAAAGAACAAATCAATAAATGAGTTCACATACAATCCATTCAGTTTAGTTAAATAAACTTTCTTCCTCGCTCTCCATCTTTTCCTTCGAGTAGTCGGGTTTGTGCATAGAAAGTATGTATCAATATCGACTCGAGAACAATGTTTACTTCACTCGCTTAAAAACAAACGAATTTGTATACTGTATGCTTTCATATGAGTAGTAATTAAGAGATTAAATCGTACTAGTACAAAAACACTCCAATGACATTATCGGATCACAGCAAGAACAAAATGACTGATTAAAAAATAATTATCGTAAACTGAGTATTCCTCTTGACCCCATACCGTCTAGATGTTATCTATTGTAAAATTTGTTTCAGCATACAAACTGCTTAGTCTACAGAGCTGATTACTCATACTGTATGTTTGCTATATGATTTCCAGGGTTACCAGATGTGAAAAGTAACTGTTAGCTTAGTTAGCACCTAATCTAGTCAACATGTAGGAACTTTTCATAACACGGCATCAAAAAAACTACGTCGAAATGAGATAGCTTTTCCTAAGGCTTTTTTGTGAGTTTTCTGAACTGAATTTTCATAAACTGGTGTTTGCCTAAATATTCGGAGTAAAAAGTTTCCAATTTAATGTAAACAAATCAAATCAACACTTCATTTTATTTTTGACAAGCATCATGTCATATAAATTATCGGTTTCATTTAGAAATACTTTTATGTAAATGACAGTTATTGGACTGAAGAATTTCTTAGCAAATGCTACTATGTAGCTTTTACTTACTCTAAAGTACTATTTATAAGTGAGCGTATGCTTCTCATTGGAAATTTCGAAATCTGAGCTGTCCTGAATGTGAAAATTCCCAGAATTGTGACGCTTTCATTGGGTCGTCTCCAGATTTATTTGTATACATGGAGTAAGCTTATTGTTTGAAGAAATGTTCTCCTGTGGACAAACTATTGATAATCTGTTGAGTAATATCCGTAAGAGAGTTACTAGCATCAATAACAAGATATTCTTCATCTTCTCCAAATGATTCCAATGTTTCTAACTGACTTTCTATAAGTGAAGGGTGTGCAAAATGTCCCTTGCGCTCACTGACCCGTTTCTGTAGCAGACTTTTATTTGCACTCAGCAACACAAAAAGTGTTCTTGTTTGACAATTTGCATCGTTGCTACTGGATAAAATATTTCGGTACGACTTTTTCAAAGCACTGCATGCTAATATGGCATTCTTGTGTTGCATTAACTCATTTCTTAGGGACCGAAGCCATGGCAAACGATCTTCATCATTCAGCGGAATTCCCATAGACGTTTTAAATCGATTACTATCAGAATGATAGTCATCACCTTCTATAAATGGCCAGTTAGTTCGAATCGCCAACGAATTTCCTACTGTTGATTTTCCGCAACCACATGGTCCCATAATTACAATGATCATATTAATTTATATTATATTGGACCTATAAGTAGAAAAATTGAATCGGACGATTAGTATTAATTTGATTACTGACAGAAACGTAAACTGTGTAATGCTTCAACTACATTTAATGTGTCTAGCTTCAAAGCAACCGAATAAGGGCGGAACTCCACAAGGGGATTTGGCGTCGATTAAGTGAGAATGCAGCCGACCAGTGCCTTTCTGAATACCGTTGGATAATAGTCAGTTTTCCTACAAAATAGATCCATGCAGCTGGAGGACACGACGGATATGTTGCTAATTACATAACCTTTCCTTCCAAAATAACTTATTTTCGGTTCGTCCCTCATATCATGAAAGAAACCTTGCGTTGAGATGTAACTTTTTGTAAGGTCTTATTTACACAATCGGACAAGAATTCAAATGTCAGTAAGCCTAGTGATCGAGACTCACAAAAGGCAGTTTTACTCTCTATGCTTTAATAAAATCGACAGTTGAAAACTCTTTTTAAGTAGTCCTAAGTGATATAAATCTAGTTTCGTAGTTTAATTATGAACATGTAATTTTACATGCCGTTAAAGGTAGGAGGATTTTCACTTCGCGATTACCCACATCGTACTAAGATACTTCATGAGGTACCCGAAAAGGCCAGGCTAGGCGCAGTTTTGACAAACTAAGGGCACGAGCGTAGTGCCAAAGGACAACTGATTATGGCCGGTTGCACATTTATTTGAGTCGTTTCAGATGAGATGGCTCCGCAGTTTTAAGGCCTTAATCGCTGGAGAAGGTAATTTGTAGAAAGGTGAGTGTGACATTTTTAGGGCTGATCTTTTCTAGATCCATCTGTTATGAGAAGACAACATTGCTGCGGATGCTGTATTTCTGAGGAAAATATCATACTGCCGTCACACCTCTGTGCAGTGAGCAGTACAACTTTGCCCTCAGCCCATGAGTTTGCTGCTTTTCGTACTACTACTCTCCAACCAACCTGCATGGCATGAAAGAATCTGAAGGGGCGAAAGTTCCAGCCAATATACCTCAATTGGGTTACGAAGGTATACACGTTCGACCACCATGTCACGGTAGGAGCCACGGTCGGGACGGAAATTTGGCACCTAGGTTTGGTTGCATGATACAAGTCAGGACATATCTAAGAGATGTCTTATGGTTATCAACCATTTGTCTGGTATCCTTCGCTTTCTGAAATACAGAGAGATTGTTAAACAAACTAGAGGTATTACAAATTTATCCCTTGAGTCTGTTTGCTGAAGATATATATCTAACATTTTCAGTTCCAACAGTTCAGCGGTTAAACTGCAAACGGGCGCTGGTGCAGAAATGAACAATAACAGTTAGTGCTTGACCGAACTTATTTACGTACATTTATCTAAGAAATTGTTTCTGCGACTAGCTACAAAGGTGTTTGTAGAAGATTAAATCAACTTGAATCCACCCAACCTGCATTTCTGTAACATTCAAATCGACATAATTGTACAGGTTGTCCGATCTCTGTTTGAATTCCTCTTTACAAACAGTTAGTAGATATATTGTGCTTACTTATAGCGCTCTTCAGTATACAGTGAACAGTGTACTCACTAAGCAAATTACTAGCGTTGTATCCCATCTATTTGCTAAATGATGACAGACAGTCTATAGGGAAATAATTTCAATGCAGATCCACACAAATGATAACAAATCAGTTCTCGTCGAGGTCAATTTGTTCCGAATTTTGTACGATAACGATACAAACATACATGTTTGTATTGCGGTAAGCTGTGAATACATGAAACATCCTCTTTTTAGATGACTTCCAGGTAGCCAAGAGATTGAAGGTAATATTTACTGAAGCCCTCGGTTACTACGCCTTTAATGCAAACCCAGATGACAAGCTGCCGTGATGATTTTATGCAATAGAACAATTGTTGGGGCTGTTAAACGAAAAATGAATGATTAGATATCCATCTTTGAAGAACTACAGGAGGATGGATGGATCCCAATTTAGTTTTCGGTCGTCAATATCTTGACTGGTAACTTCTCACCAATCGCTAAGTATACATTAAGTTCTTTCAAAACAAAAGTCTTCATCACACCACTCGCTTTTACTTCACATGATGTTATTAACGAGTAAGCTTCATTATTACTTAATTCTATTCTGAAAAGTCCCACATTTGCAATATCGCTTGTCTACTAATTGTGAAAGTGATCAGAACTGTCTAATTATATCAATAAGATGAATGTGCACATTATCATCCACCGTTGTAATGGACAGGAATACTTGCAGTATGATCTTTGGGATTTCTGTTGAAAACACACGGAGAAACCAGCATTTTAGAAGCTGTATTGCAGAAACAAGAACCCCATTATCAGTTTGTAAGTTGTTTAGAAAATTTAAGGTGACAAAATTATCAGAGATCTTTGGTAATGATCTTAAAAATGTTCACGAAGGCGATTTTAGCTTACATATTGACGTCAGAACTTGGTATTATTTATACCCTACATGGAACTGAAAGTAAAATGGATATAAATCATTACATTCTACAAAACAACTCGCAGTAAGTCAACATTACAGTGAGCACATTTGGTTAGATGTCCTGTGCTTACGGTTCGAAAGTTCAATCTGTCCTAAAAATAAGACATAACAAGCGATGAATGATGCAAACCAGGCTTTTGTGCGCGATGCAAGGGATAAAACATAAGCGCAGATGGCAATCCAAAGAAAATGTAAACCTGACACAGTTAAAGTTTATTACTGAATATGTGTGTTCATAAAGTATGTTTAGTAAATACTATCTACACTATACCATTATTCTTCAGCTGGACCCTCAAGTATACATGGACCCCACTGTAAATTATTCATTCCACACACGTTACCTAAAGTTTCATACCTAATGTACATTTCATACGTTCCTAAAGGCTCTTGTTTGGTGCATTTCGTCAAACAAAAAAATTTGATACCTAGGTTTCATGAATCTCATCATATTAGGCACTTCTTTGTCAACTTGTATAACCGGAAAAGCACTGATATTGCTTTTATATTAATCACATTTTATTTGTTTAATATTATTAACGGAATTTGGACTGGAACATAAGAAATAAACCAACCTCCCAATTGTGAACAATAATAAGAAACAAATTACTCGTAAAAGATTTACAGATTTTTATTTTAATTCATTATACAAAATTACTTATGACACAGTCTTCTAACCATGACGATGAGCAAATATAACATAAGATACTACAAATGTTAAAAAAATAAGACTACATGGAGAACGTGACTAAACTGTGATGCAGGTTCATCTATTGTCTTCTAATGATCGTTTACTTAATTGTTCATTCTAGACAGATTTTGAAACTCCTAACTGTTAATGGTTTTATGTATAAATGTGCGAGAGCGAAAATTTTTTTGTGAAAAACAGTAAGGGATTAACTCTTAAATGGCTTTAGGTTCCCAAATGACGCCATTCCAGAAGCAATAAAAGGGAAAAACTTTTATACGCAGTAGATATTGTGAAGAGTTGTCGTCGTAGTTCGTTAGATTTCCGCCAAAATTTGAACTATTGAAGAAAACCACAAAAGCCCCCGTTTTAATAATTTCCCCAAGGTGTGTGGCAATCCTAAAATCAGACCGCGGACCAAATCGAAATTTAAGGGCGTTATCACATTTCCTCCAAAATTGACGAAATACCCCATAATACCAGGAGATCGGGCTCAGCCTCACTAACTACTTATGTGCAACAGCAAGCACCCGAAGATGCTATAGAAAATCCAGATGTCTCGAGAGTCCGAGTAGATTACTAGTAAGAATTCTGGACCATAGGAAATTTAGACTTGTATCTGGGAATAAACCATAGCTAGTGAAAATTGTCGGATACTCAATCACTGATTCACAGCATTATCCCTAAGTACGTAAAAAGTCTAACAAAATTTAGAGACAATTATCGGAAAAATGCAGGGTTTCTTAATTTAAAATCTAAGAAACAGTACGGTTTTTTTTTGTCTAAGTCTAGACGGTGAAAATTTCCGGTGAAAACCACACATCCATATGGGTTTCAGGAAGTTGATTGCAAACTTTAAAAAATCTTAAACTAAGCTGTCTCAAAAATTACTAAGCCCGATTCGGGTTTTCTCCAGTGTTTCGAAAAATTTGAAATCCATCTATGTTCTGACATAAAGCCCCATAATTGTTTAATGTCATGGGGAAGTCTGCGGTTTTCCCCATCATATAACTGTGAACGCTTCACGATCTTATGACATTTGTTTATACCAAGTTTATGATGTAAATGAAATGTTAGTGGTTTCACAGCTCATATTGCCTTAAAAATCTGATTTCAGTATGTTTGTGACTTTACTAGCAGGTTACAAATAACCTATAAGTTTTTTATTTTATGTAAACAGCGCTCTTCATTTTCTAACCCTTCTAGTATTTCACCTAGACATTTGGTACTAACAGAAAAATTGGTAAGCACCATTCAGATATTACTGGACAATATGCATCATAACTTTGTTCATAATTTGGTCAGTGAGTGCGGATTCTGTCTATAGAAACTTATTCGTGAACCATATAACAGACACATCTTAAGTCAGTATTAACTAGGACATGGTTTTGTCACCATGCTCAAAAGAAACACGCATCGTTTTACTTATGAAGAATTTGTGACCACTTAATGTGGCACTTCCAGTGATGTTATACACTGTTCCTGTATACGTTCAGAAAGCGGATGGAAAAGACTATCAACGTCAACTGTTACATAATTCTTCTCAGATACGTTACATAATAATGTCACTTCAGTATAAAACGATGATACTTATTATGGATATAACTGTTTATGACTACATATTAGCAAGTTATATAATGTTCATAAATAGTTTAACGCTTAATTGCTTCAACTTACATTTTATAAACAACTACCAACATCCATGTTCATCATCACCATAATCAAGGTGATGAACCAGATGTAATAGGTTTTAGAGCTTATTTTCCTGAAAACTCAATTTGTGATCGATTTTTTGACTTGAAAAATGGTGGATTTTACTTTCTTGAGTTTGTATTGTTACAAATAACCATATTAGGCTTACTAAAGATTCACTTAGATGGTGAGCAACAAATATGTCCTCAATATATATAGAGGAGAACCAAATAGTGAAATATTCATAGTTGGGATCTATGATGGTGAAGTAAAACCATCCGATTTCAACGAAATGTCCTCAGCACTTGTAACTGAGTTACAAGAGTTGCTGACAGTAGGCATTTATGTAGATAAGTGTCAGATACATTTAACAGTAAAATTAATTGCTGTTATTTGTGACACTCCAACTCGCAGTTACGTCAGGTATATTGTTGGACACAACGGTACCGCTGGCTGTGACAAATGGGTGGTCGAATGACTTTACCCAATGGTGAACACGACTTGAGAAGTGATTTCACTTTTCATAGCAGGTCACAATCCATCCACCAACGTGGTAGTTCATACGAAAATCTGCCACTGGATATGTTAAAACGTTTCCCATCTGAACCTCTGCTTATGATATACTTAGGTATCACGAAGAAACCGAATTTCTTTATGGAAGGACTTAGCTATTAAGCGACTTTATCGGATGGATAAGTCTATTTTTGCAGTACTTGACTTATGTAGACAACACACTACATGCGACTTTCAAAAGAAATGTCGTTTATTACATAGAGTTTCTGTATGGAAAGCAACTGAATCTCGGTTGTTCTTATTATACTTAAGTCCTGTAGTTCTTTTTGATAGGTTACCGTTAGCAATGTATAGAAACTTCCAGCGCCTGTCGTTGTCTGTATATTCATTATCTCACCCGAAGTTGCGCGACACCTTCATAAATAATGTTCGCATTATTGTCGACAACTTCTTGTTGACTTAAGAAGGCTGTTTGCCAACGGCAAACCGGGTTTGATCACACAAATTACTGATGGAAGCAGGATTAGAATTAGGGTATTCTATAACCAGTTCGATTTCTTTACTGACCCCTTTTCCCCCAGTACTATAGGTATATTCAAGTGCTCTACCGTAAGCCACGAGTGTACGTGGATTTCACCGACAGATATACTTTGTAAGTGCATATGTATACCTGCACAGCTTTTTGAGGTTATTAGTCCCCTAGCACACACCTATCAATAACGTGACATCACTTCTCAATGCCTGTCGTAAATATAATAGTTTTATCAGTTCGTGTGCCTGTTGATTAGAGATTAGAATTCGCCCCAAAATGCCCTGGTATGGCTGGGAGTGAAGTGGGCCTGCCCTCCCTCTCGAAATACTCTCACACGGCCACCAGTATACAGCCTCTGCCAGGGAAGTCCTACTCACTGCCTTCTCGTGGCGCGGCTGTTGTTTACGAAATTGAGAGGACGAAAAGAGAATGTCCGGCGCTTTAACTGGGTCGGTGGACACGGAAAGTTCACCTAGGGGAGTTGGAAAACCCTGATTCCAAACCAATGGTGCACATGGGCTCCAGTATCCTGAGGGAAAAAATGGCGTATGAACCAATCGTTGGTCACCGGCTTCCATGGGACTACATCTCCTTACGATGCTCCACTGCCTCGTGAATCAGACCTTTAGGTCAAAGGCTCGAGGTGTGGCCCTCTAAGAAAACCACCTGCTTCGGTCTGGACACCCGGGCAATATCACGGCCCACACACAAACAGAATGAAATGACGATAATTACGGAAAGTACTATTCTTGCTACGATTAACAGTTAAACGATTCACATTATTATTATTTACTAAGTCATTATTCACCCTCTTTTATTCCCACTTTCTCTATCCTTATTTTTCTACTTATACAGCAGCTCACCTATGGTGGAAATTCGGTTCTATCTAAACGTTCTCGAGTCACTGCCTGGTTGAAAATTGTATGCTACCACCAAATACGAATACTGAAGCACTTTTTCTGAAACCACGTGCACCATTCAAACTGGCTGCCTTCAACGTTAGCACACTTATGCAGGTCGGACAACAGATAGGGCTGGCTATGTCTTTGAAGACAGGACTTACTATGGCGTTCTCGCAGTCGTATGGTAATCGACACTGGGTTATGAATAAATTAAAACATACACTAAAGGGATTCGCAATGAAATCGGCTAGTTCCCTTAGTAATCTAGGATGCATTTCATCGGATCCAGTGGATTTGCCTATATCAAGCTTGTTTAGCAGACCAAAGACATCGAGTTCTTTAATGGTCACATAATCAAGTTTATGTAGGCATCTGCACGCTCTCCAATCATCCGTATATATTGTAGTACCGGTTGTAGCCAGTGTTACTGGTGCTTTTATTATCCAGTTCGCAATTCGCCTTAGTTCAACCTGGATCGAGCGAGAAAACCCTATTCTAGCAGACGTCTTCCTCCAACACAAATTGCATCGAAAGAGAACATCATCACGGTAGTCTGCACAAGTCATGTGATTACCACAACCACAAATAAAGAAACTCCTTAGTAGTCTCATTTATTGTAGTCGCTCGTTTTCTCTACAATTCGCTGTGAACCGATCGTACGCGAGCATCAGGTAGTGAAGTTGGTGCTGTGACCTTAAAAATCCCTCAAGCGCCTCTGGACGGCTCGTTCATAAATTATAGTCTTGCCCCCAAAAGTACCGATGATAAATTCCTTTCGAAAAACAGTACTCTTGGCGAATACTTTAATTGAAATCAATTCAATTAAAGTGAGAACAGTAATTTTGATGTGTAAATTACGATCAAAACAATAAAATTAACTCGGCGAGTAAAGTTCTATTGATTTTATGATGACACCTGATTAGTTCATGTTATTTCACACCAAACTAAATTATTTGTCTACTTTTAGTGTATGACTGACTGGAAATTATTGCTTTCTTGAGATGCAATTGTGGAGAAACTGTTGTAGCTTGTTGTTGGTTGGGTATTTAAGGACGTTATGATGCAATGTACTGGAAAATGAAAAAACTTTTCCACTTAGTTTGGAGATCAGAAAATATCTATGCAGATTTATTCAGGATAAATTTAGACCTTAACTTTGTGAAAAGTAAAAATAAGTAGGGCAAAAAGGTGCCGCGATCAAGGTTTTCGAAGTTTGTGGGACAGATGTTTCTTTGTCTCGTGTCTATTTGACGGACTAAAACATGCCCAAAGCATTGTTATTGGAACGCTGAGTGACGCTAGAACTCATACAACAAAATATTATATTTTATTGTAAATATGTCGCAAAATTTTAGAAAATACTCTGAATAATAATTCTTCGTTCTAAGAGCTGAGCTACATGGTGAAAATTACTATTATTCATACTGTAACAGTACCACAAATCATTACATGTGACGTTGCTAACGTGAGTATTTTTCCTATCGCAGGGCAGCAAAGAGTAAATGTAAAGGAAGAAGAGGAGCAAGCCCGACGCAAAGTGAACCTACAGAACGACGAATAAAATTATTTTGTAATAAGTGTTTTTTCTCGCACCCCAACCGTGCATTTTACTTTTCAAAAATATATCTGTTGTGCTGCTTCTTCACGTTCTTGCTCCTGACACATTTATCGTTCCTGACTGTCGTGTTGTTGTTTCAGATCACTCCTGCTTCCAAGTAAACGCTAACTACACATGCTACAATATGACTTTTTGGGAAAACAATAAATTTACTCAAAATCTGGAGATAGAGAATTCAGTAGGACTCTAATTTATGGACGAGCCAATCAGAAGCGTTTAAGGAATTTCAAGGTCATGGCGCTAAGTCAGTGCGGGATGCTCACATTCGATCGTTTTACAGCAGATTTTAGAGAATAGGTGATCGTTGAGAGACTATAGCAGATGGGAATATTAGGAAGTTCCTGTTTCTGTGACTGCGGCAATTAAATGACCGCAGCACGATGTGCAGACTGCCGCGATGACATTGTATTTCGTTGTACTATATGTTGTAGAAAAAAATCTGCTCGAACTGGCACTTTTTTTACCCGGTCACGGCTAAGGCTAAGACAAACCATGATAATCGTTGCAAATTGGATCATAAAGTCTCCAGTAACATTAGCTGCGGCTATACCGATGTTAGGAAAGCGTATAGATGCCTCTCCAGACTTGGTTTTGTGCATCATGTAGTGGTGTATAAACGTCATTTCTTTGATCTAACGACGGGAGGTCCATACAAACAACATTGAGGGCATGTGGTCTAGGCTGAAGTATTCTTTAAAACCCTACCACGGCTTCAGAGGACGATTATTATAGTCATATGGACGAGTTCTTATACCGCATGCACTATGATTTCGAGACTTCTGAACCTATATCAAACCTCAACAAGTTCTCAAATAATGTAAAGAAGATATCCATTGTAATACATCACTCTTTTATAATATATTTTTACTTTATACTAACTCTCTTCTGATTGGCTAATGTACTCAAGGTCACTTAAAAATTCGTTCAAAGGTCGTCCATAAATTAGAGTTTCACGAGAATTCACTCTCACTGTTAGTAGCCTGGTTATTAGCGCTCTTTAGCGACCACATGAACTCCGCTGGACTTGAAGGCAAAATTAAAATATGCGATTGATAATTGAGCCTGGCATTTTGACAAGTCACGTTAAGACGTATGGCAATCACCTTTGGTTATAAGGTTAAAATATAAGTAGTACAAGTATTTTGTGTCAAGAAATGAAAAATCAATCAATATACTACGTTGTTACAGAACAAAATGTAACTTAAGGAGGAAGAGGGTACAAATGTTATCCGTGATAATATACTGCCGATCAAAACATACCAACCGCCTTGAGCAATTAGTCAAATTTTCCCCAAGTCATTGAAAGGTCATTAGTGAGATGCCTATATTGTGATGGATACGGGTTCAATGGTTTTAGGCGCTTTTCCTAAGGTTTGAATTTCAGTCCTCGAACTAATTTCGTAGTTCACCGTTGGATATGCACAAGAGTATTCTAATCCCTTCGGAGTGAGAGAGGAAACACGATATTTAAATATTCTAGATGGGGTCAAATAAAACTTTTGGAGATTAAGTGGAAAGCTTTACCGATTAACTGATCGAAAATGCGTCCTAAATTCACCAGTTCAAAGAGTGCTCAGAGGGCATTTCTATCGCAGTTAGCGTAAGAAATAAGATCATAAGGGACCGACACCCATAGATTTATTTCGACATGAGATAACTCTAGTAGGCCGTTGCCCAAGTTATATGTGTAGTCTGCACCCAAGAAACCAACGAAAGGGAAAATGCGTTAGAAAAGAAAAGGTAAATAAAGAGGAGACGCGTCAACATGTCTACTTTTTCGCCTGTCCGGAAAATAATAATGCGGATTTCCACCTTTTTGTCGCCCTGTCGGTCAAATTGTCTACTTTTCGCCTTAATATACGCCGAATTGTCTACTTTTGTTACAACTTTTAAAACAGCACTAGCATAACCATAGCCTTTATCCCCATAACAAATCACAAATTGCAATTTGTCTAAGATAGGCTACTTTTCTCAGTGTAGTGCTAAAAGTAAGTCAGTTGTTATCCATCCAACTTAGAATTCATGTCAGATCCTTCTGAAGTACCGGCTTATCATCTTGGTTGTAAGTTTCTCTCCAGAGTTTGGCATCGTCAGCGAAAACTAACAAACCAAGTAATTATTGCTGAGGAAGGTCATTAACGTAAATTAAGAAAAGAAGAGATCTTAATATTGAACATTGGTGGACGCTACGAGCACAATCTATATTCTGAAAAAGTGAAGTTTACCATGACGCTAAAACGTTTATCATACGGATATAATGGTAGTGCGAAACAGTCCATTAATAGGGACTTGCCCAAGAAGTTGAGATTATCGATGAAAAATATATGACTGATCCTAACAAAAGCTTTTCAGAAGTCAAGGCGTATGACATCAACCTTCCTCTTACGATCAGAAATGATTGTATATCTGTTTAATATGGTTAGCAGACGGATTACACAGCAGCCACCTCTTCTGGATCTATGTTATTGGAATGAAAAGAAGTTTATGGACAATAAATATTCGCGTAGACCAGAGTGTATCAGAGACTCCACAGCCTCTGATTGTATTGAGAAAAGTGATACCATCCGATTGCTCAAAGTTTCACTGCTTCTGCCTACTTCAAAACGTATCGTGATATGTCCCGGTTTACAGTGTAGCGTGGTGTCGAGTTGGGATTGACTATGAACACCGCTACAAAAGATCGCGTGCCAAATAAATCCATGAAATCCCCGAGAAGCCAAATGTCAGAAGGCAGTTAATGAACCAAATCGAGGTATATTTGTTGGCGATCTCGTGGTATCGAAAGGATACTGAGATCGTGCCAGGATACAAGCTTGGTTACAGAACGTAACCGAATTCTTGCGAAGTCACAATCAAAGTGTAAGAATAATGGATGCTTTTTAGCACATTAAAACAAACACTGGTACAGTTGGTTATAATAATAATTGTTTTTATTAAACCAGTCGTGTTCTCGTGATAGATGTGAGTCACTACAACAGTTTTCTGAGACCATGTCCTTGCCTAGCGAATGAAAGAATAAACCATCAAGAGGTTTTCCGATTGTTAGAGCCACTCCACTCAGTGTAGTAGAATGAACCATATTCAGGTCAGGAAAGTGTCTCTGTTTGAACGCCGGTTCTCCTGACACACGAAGTCAGCTCCTATGTTCAATTTGAGATTCCTGTTAAGTTCTAGGTACGACTCACGTCGATGCAGCTTGTATGTGACGGTCGAAATATTTTTATATTCAGTTCTGCCAGAAGGTTAGTGGGACCACTGTCGTCGTTAGTGAGGCCGTTCGGACCCAAAACTTGCAACATTCCAGTTCCGGATTGTTGAAGAGAGGCTATACGACGGAGTAAGATTTTCGGATTTTAGACATGTTTTGGTAAAGCGTGACTGTATTGATAGTCAGACAAAAATAGGCTGCAGTTACGCGGTGGGTAGAACGAGCAGTGAACACACATGAAATCATATAAAAAGTCTAGGTTAATAAGCGAATAATTAAAAAGTTCAGAATGTGACTCGCAAAGATTAAATAAACCGATCGATCCAAATTCTAGAACAAGCTATGTGGACTTGACGAAGTGCCAAACACTACACTTTTCTCATTACCTCTGTCTATTAGTTTCTTGACTATTTGAACTGCTCATACGTGCTATTGTCACTGCTTGGTTTATATTTCATCAATCAATCCCTCTGGAGTCTTAGCATTCGAAGGGTGTCATTCCTTATCACTGTGAGTTGCTTGGAATCTCCAGGAAACGTTTAGAAGACAGACGGTTTTGAAGCTCATAAGATCGTGTGGAGTAAGAGATACCAATGGGTGTTCACATCAAGTTGAGGGT